TGAATCCAACATTTTTTTAATAGCAATAATACACGTGTCAAGTAAAGGAACAAACTAACTTCTTTTTATTAATAAGAGTATAAGATATAATTAAATAATATCGATTCTCGGTCATTACAATTTTAATTCACTATGCATCAATTCATACAATTTAAACTACACATGATTTTCAATCAAATTTTTCCTACTTTTACATCAAATAATTTTTAATTATTACATTTTAAATATTATTTTAATACAAACTCAAAATTCTACTTAAATTTAACTCAATCAACTTTTTTAAAATTAACTCTAGTTAACCAACAAATGCAATCAAAATCAAAATAACTTATATCAAATCACCTCCTAAAATTTTGGATTCTAACACAGACTAATGCCACCTTTTGTCTTCATTTTATAAAAAATAAAAAAGGATATAGAAGTTGTGTTCATTTTCTAAAAATAAAAAAATAAAAATGGATATAGATTTTGTGGCTCAGGTGGTGATTACATTTTCACAATTACAAATGTTTGTTGAGCAGTCATTGTTTTGTCAGAAAGTTTATTTCCCGCATTCATTAACCAATTATTATTAGTTTGTTAACCAGAAAATATATGGTAACAAGAAAGATGGAGTCTGTCATTTGTGATTGGGATGCTTTACCTCACACACACACTAGATTGGGTGAGATGTTTCCAAATCTATTAAAAGAGGTCACCAAAAAAATATTATTTAAAGGAAAAAAAAAAAGAGAGAGAGAGAAGAAAAACAAGAAAATATTAGTAAAAAAAATTTGAAACAGACATTAACATGAGAAACTATTATTGCTTATTCTCATAATAATCTCAAAATTATCTCATAAGGTTCTAGAGTTAACCTTCACGACTGATATCTCTAATCTAATAATAATTTCAAAATTATCTTATCATTGACTCAAGAACCTGAACTCTATTTAAATTCACTAATTTTTACGGATAATAATTAACTCTAGTTATTTATAATTTGAATAATATTTAACTTTGCTTCTAATTCATATAAATATATAAATCAATAAATATTTCACTCTTTAATTATTTATTATTGAAAATATTATTTCTCCCACGCCTGTCCACATGAGTTTCATGCTCACGAATGATCGAAGACCTATCCCAAGTGACGTATTTCTTTGCAATCCCTTGCACCTCTATCATCCCTTGCACCTCTATAATTTTCATAAATTTCAGTTTTGTTTACTTTAATATAATAGTATTAATTCTTTTGGGTTTTGTTTAAAAAGTACAAATTGTTTGGTTTAAAGAAAAAAAATACAATCTTATTTGAATTTTATGTTTGTTGTTTTATTTAAGTAAAATGTGTAAAGATGGCGATCATTTACAATAAATATATATTATTATATATTTTAGAATGACACTTGTTACTTGTGCCACTTATATGTGTTATATTATAATAATTTTTTTAATTTATATCATATAACTACTTTAAACAGAAATATATTAATTGATAAATAATTTTAATTTTTTCTAATTAATATTATTACTAAATAATTTTATAATTATTCAAAAGATAAATATAATTTATTCATATTATAAATACAATATGCATGTCAAATCGAAGCACATCAAAAGATGATTAATTTGATATATGAATTATGTAAAACTGATAAAAAAAAATACATAAGTTATTAATTTTTAAAATACATTTACAATTCAATTGTTATAATGAAAAATGATTTAAAAATGCAATTAATACGTGTGAAATGACCATAAATATACAAGAAATTTATGGATAATTGAACATAATTATTTTTTGATTGGAAGTAAATTAAAATTTATACAAGTCAAATAAAAAGCGTAAAATTTTGCCACATAAGATTCTTAAACATGCGAGCCTACCACTTAGGCTCACCACATTACTTAATCATATATAAGGGGGATTATTGTTTTATAGGAAGTGAATATCAATTAAAAAAAAAAAACTCATTTTAAAATTGGATATCTCATATCTAATTATCAAGATAGAAGATAGTAAAACACTAAATATGTAATGAAACATCAAAGTAAAACATGATATCTTGTATGAATGTTATTGTTAAACGATATAATTATTATTAGCTAGTCATAATTTCGTATGGAAAATGTATAGTTATATCGTAAAATTTTATGTTTTCGTTTATATTATATTATGAAGTATCACATTTCAATGTAATATCTACATATTTGTTAGCAGAATATAGATGTCTATCAATTAGCTGCCTCACAAACGGCTATGGATTAAATTAGCAATATTCAACTTGGGTGAGAAAAATTGAAATCTTTTTAAAAAATATAACCAATATTTTAACAAATTTCATTACCAATGACGTCACCAATAATTTTTGAAAATTTCAAAAATCAAAACATATCATCACAAATTAAAAAACAAAAGTTGGCTCCAAAAACTCTTATCATTACTATTACCTTCTTACATTTGAATTCTGCAATTTTTGGGTCAACACTAACAAATAAATCTTTCTATAATTATTATTATTATTATTATTTATTTTTATTATTATTTCTTCATTTGTTTGTGTTCCATAATAATACTTTTATTACAAATTCATTTATTTTTTTAAGTATTTTGTAGGTGGTCCTTTAAACAATTTTGCCAACAAAAAAATATCTCTTGATTATTGTTAGATTACAGAGAGCACAGATTGAGAGAGGGAAGGAGACGAGAGTTGTGTGAGAGAAAAGAAAAACTGCGATAGAATAGAATGGAAAAAATTAAGGTTACACACTAGGGTACATGCTATTTATACTTAGGATACAAAGGGACTAAAATGCTATTTACAAAGAATAAGATACACAAAATGCTAAATACATAAATGGCTAAATACATAAATTGCTAATAACTAAATGACAACTTCTATATGCTAATAATTATATATGTTGCCATTATATCATTTTCTTGTACTGTTTACATAATAGTACGAACATATATACTAAAATATAAACTCCTAATTCGTACACAGCCAAATTTCAAACAACCTACACAAAAGATTTTCATAGACATTGACAAATTTGAGAGAAAATTAAGTATTGCAAGACAGTGAGCCTATTT